TATTGGTCAATTATGTGAACTCGGTCTAACTATCACATTTTCTGCTACTGAGTGTTTGGTGCAGGACCCTCGGACGGGGCAGACTATTGGGATCGGCCGTAAGCACGGACGTCTCTATGAACTCATTCACCTTCATGTTCCTAACTCTCCTCAAATCGCTGCTCCTACATCTGCTTCCTCATTATCTCTTTTTCATCTTTGGCATTGTCGCTTAGGGCATATTTCTGTTAATCGCTTAAAGTCTTTGGTTTCTAGTGGACAATTGGGTCATGTAATTCCAGATAATTTTGATTGTATACCCTGTCAACTTGCCAAACAACCTGCTTTATCATTCAATAAAAGTACTTCTGTTTCCTGTGCACCTTTTGATCTTATACATTCGGATATTTGGGGCCCCTCTCCTACTACTACTATGGGGGGATCTCGTTATTTTGTTGTTTTATTGATGATTTTTCCCGGTTTACTTGGATTTTTCTCATGAAAATTCGGTCTGAACTCAAAACCCTTTATTATCGATTTGCCCAAATGATCCACACCCAATTTTCCAAATCCATCAAACTTTTTCGCTCTAATAATGCTATGGAATATCGGGATTCAGATTTCCTTTCTTTTCTCCAGAGTCATGGTACACTGCCTAATCGTTCCTGTGCTAGCACGTCCCAGCAAAATGGCCGTGCTGAACGGAAACATAGGCATATTCTTGACACTGGATTCAAATTTCCTTTCCTTTTTTCAGCATCATGGTACACTGTCTCATCGTTCCTGTGCTGGCACGTCCCAGCAAAATGGCCGTGCTGAACGCAAACATCGGCATATTCTTGACACTACTCGCGCTCTCCTTCTCTTTTCTTCCTGCCCTGAAAACTTTTGGGGGGAAGCTGCCCTCACTGCTGTCTACACTATCAATTGTGCTCCTAATCCTGTCATCCATAATCAAACTCCTTTTGAACGTCTGCATGGCACTCCTCCTCCATACACCAATCTTCGGGTCTTTGGCTCTGCCTGCTTTATTTTGCTTCAATCCCATGAACACACCAAACTTGAACCTCGTTCTCGTCTTTGTTGCTTTCTTGGGTATAGAATTGAACATAAAGGCTTTCGCTGTTGGGATCCTCTCTCTAAACGTCTTCGTATCTCCCGCCATGTCATTTTTTGGGAGCATAAAATGTTTTCCTCCTTATCCTCCTTTCACTTACCCGCACTTTCCACTAATATACTGTTTACTACTCCCTCCATCGATCTCTTCTCTGATGATTTTGATACAGGTTCCTCCTTCATCGAGACGCCCTTGTTCACTCCTGATCCCGTCCAGACTGCTCTTCCTGAAGGTCCACCTCTCACTACACCACCTCCTTCTCTACCGGTTCTTCCTCCCATCGATCCTCCTACGGGTCGACCACACCGGGTAACTCAACCTCCTATCCATCTTCGTGATTATATTGTTGGATCTGCTACCTTTTCTACTTATGAACCTACCTCCTATCGTGAGGCCTGTACTAATCCTCTTTGGCAGCAAGCTATGACTGATGAACTCCAGGCTTTGGACAAAACTCATACTTGGGATCTTGTTGATCTTCCTCCTGGCAAAACTGCGATTGGTTGCAAATGGGTTTACAAAATCAAGACTCATTCTGATGGCTCTATTGAACGCTACAAAGCTCGTCTTGTTGCCAAGGGCTTCAACCAGGAATATGGTATTGATTATGAGGAGACCTTCTTCCCTGTTGCTCGGCTTACCTCTGTTCGCAGTTTACTTGCTGTTGCTGCTGCTTGTCACTGGGAGCTCTTTCAGATGGATGTCAAAAATGCTTTCCTCAATGGTAATCTTCTTGAGGAGGTCTACATGCAACCTCCACTTGGGTCCATTTTTCAACCTACAGCGTGCTCTTTACGGCCTCAAGCAAGCGCCCCGAGCTTGGTTTGCTAAATTCAGTTCTACCATTCATGACTTCGGGTTCACCTCTAGCTCCTATGACTCTGCTCTGTTTATCCGGACTACTCCTCATGGTACCACTCTTTTCCTTCTATATGTGGATAATATGATTATCACTGGTAATGATGCAGCTGGTATTCTCCACCTCAAACGTTTTCTTCACCGTCAGTTTGAAATGAAGGACCTTAGTACTCTTAACTACTTCCTAGGCTTTGAGGTCTCTCATGATTCTACTGGTTCCTATTTGTCACAAGCCAAATATGCATCCGATCTTCTAGCTCGTGCTGGTCTTACCGATTGTAAAACTACCTCTACTCCGGTTGATCCTCAGATTCGTCTCACTCCTTTCGGATGCTACTCTTTATCGCCAGCTCGTCAGTAGTCTTGTCTATCTCACAGTGACTCGTTCTGACATTGCCTATGTTGTTCACATTGTTAGTCAATACATGTTGGCTCCTCGCACTCCCCACTATACGGCTCTCCTCCACATCCTTCGCTACCTCAAAGACACTATGTTCCATCGCCTTCACTACTCTGCTTCCTCCTCTCTTAAACTGCGTGCCTTTTCTGATGCTGATTGGGCTAAGCATCCTACGGACCGACGCTCCACCACGGGCTTCTGCTTTTTCTTAGGGGATTCTCTTCTTACTTGGCGTAGCAAGAAACAGTCCCTCACTGCCCGCTCTAGTACCGAAGCTGAATACCGAGCTCTTGCTGATATTACTCAGGAGCTTCTCTGGCTTCGCTGGCTCCTCACTGATCTGGGTGTGTCCTCTTCTGGGGCTACCTCTCTCTATTGTGACAATCAAAGTGCCATTCAGATTGCTCACAATGATGTTTTTCATGATCGCACAAAGTATATTGAGACTGATTGTCATTTCATTCGACAGCATGTTACATGTGGTACTGTTCATCTTCTCCCTATTGCTTCTGTTGATCAGCCTGTTAATATTTTCATCAAGGCTCATCCTCATGGTCGCTTCTGTGATCTTGTTTCCAAACTCAACTTGGTGGATGCCTACCCTCCTTAAGTTTGCGGGGGGCTGTTAATATATAATATACACTAAATAGGTTAATATATATTATACACACATTGTATGTTGTTGTATGCTGTAAAGTCCAAACACCAATGCTGTTGTATGCTGTAAAGTCCAAACACCATTCACACACTTTCATCATTGCACATAACTTTTGTCTTCTTCTTTCGGTGCTTCCTCTATAAATAAGCATCACTCTTGTAACTAATTCAGACAATTGAATACAACATACATTCATTCAGCCTCTCCTTTTTCTCTCTCTCTCTCTATAAAACTATCATACACAATGAAAGAAATAAACCTCATCTATATGTCATCCAGATTGATTATAATCATGGGCGGAGATACTGTATCAGTAGTGGTGTCAAGGGACACCACTCTCTTGAAATTCTTTTTAAGCAAATATAAAAATTTACCCAAAAATGAAATTATAGCACATCCAATTCTTGACTACAACTTCATTTAATTTGATTCCAAATTTAAATAAAAAATCTACTTTGATATGAACTACTTCAATTTGTCATCAAATTTTTCACAAATTTTTTTAAAAAATTTGCCTCTTGTCTCAAATCTTCATTTTCATCAAATTTGCTGAAAAAAAATTCATCTCCATTGTTTTATCTATTCAAATTTTAATCAAATTGAAATTTGATAAAAATTTTGATAAATTCTCAATTTGATGAAAAAAAAAATTCTCCCTTTAATTTGATAAACATTTGATGAAATGATTTTTTTTTTTTTTTATGTTTTGAATAGACATTTGATAAAATGATTGAAGATAGCTTTTGAGCATTTTATCATCAAATTTAAATTTGATGAAAAAATGATAAAAGATTGAAGATGCACTTCAAGAAACAATAAAGAATTGTTATTCCCATTCTACCAATGACAACTAAAACTGTGAAAAATCTTTCCTTGCGATGCAATTTATGAAGAATTAAATGAGTAATTTTTTCCCCTTAAATTATTATGTGGATAAATATATGGAGAAAAATGTGTTTTGAAAAAACTAAAAATCCCCTAGATATTGATTTGTGATTATATATCAATTTTGTGCAGTAAATAACAATCCCAATCAAACAGTCAAAACAAATCGACACAACAATTTTACGTGGAAAAACCACAATTGGAGCTCCTCCAATTGTGATAAAAAAAACCACGAGCAAAAACTACAAAATAATCCACTAAGAAGACATAAAGGAATTACACAGGTGTACTCTCAAATACCTAGCAAATCCACATCCGAATCGAACTAACCCCTATGTGCCTTTTTCATCTCGTCTTCATCTCGGAATTGTCTTGTACAATATTGAATCCACAACGCCGATGTCAAATCCACGCCGATGAACCACTCCAAAATCCACCAAGGCTTCAGGCCCAAATTCCTCGGAATCCACCGAAGAACAACTCTCTCTTTTGTGAATAAAACAAAATAAACGAACAAACCCTTTGATATAATCCACTCAATTCATGATATAAACTCTCACAGATATCAAAAGAAACAAGCAAAGAAGTTTCAGATAGAAACCCTAATACCTAAGAAGAAGATTTGGAAGCTGTAAACCTAAAAACGGACTGAAACACATATTTATAGAAAATAGAGCCGCAATCTCCGCTCGAGCAGAAGAATGACTGCTCGAGCAGATTTATGCTCGAGCGCAGGAATGGCCGCTCAAGTGGAAAAAAACAACTCCCAGTACTTTTGCAGGCGAGTGAAACTTCTAAAAAGTCGCGATCTCCGCTTAAGTGCAGGAATGGCCGCTCGAGCGGAAAAATAACTTCGATTGCAATTTTTCTTTTTGCTTCGAGGGTGTTGCCCCTTGACCCTGCTTAGGCACTACCCCAGACCCGCCAAGGGGCGCTGCCCCCTGGATCCCCGCGAGCTGACCGGGCAGCTCGATTCCCGACATAGCCAACGAAGTGGCAAACATAAAATAATTAACTTTTGAAACATCTCTTTACAAGGCACAATTCAGGTTGGATTCGCATCTAAAACTCAAAGACTTACTGAAATAAAAGATCGAATACAATTACAATTGAAAGAAGTTTTTTCAAATAGAATTGCCAAGAATAAAAACCTAACATGTTTGATAGCTTTAAGTAACAAGGTTATCTTATAGCGATTTCAAAAATAGAAACTTACCATGAACAATTATATAAGAGTAGATTTTTGTTGAAGCAATAGTATTAATGTCTCAATTTTTGTTTTTTTTGTAATTTAACAAGTTTAAATTACACTTGCCAGTGAAGCTCATCTAAAGGAGGCCCCATTTTGATCCCAATTTGGTAATGAGCATTCTGAATCAAAGCTGAGATCCTTCAAGCTTCTGTTTGATTTTAACGGACCCGGAAGACGTTTCAAGCATGGAGATCTCTGTTGAAAGCCACCGAGATTGACAGAAGATATAGGAGGGAGCTTATGCTTACAAGGAGAATTGGTGTCAGAACAAGCATCTAAATTTACACCCCTTAGCCTTGGTGAGCTCATTGACCGTGCTTTCGCCTTGGCAGATTCAGTGGCAGCCATGTAAGTTGGAACAACAGGAGAGCTTGCAAAATCGTTGTCATCTCCGACAGAGAGTTGTTTCTTATGAACAAATGATCTTTTTGGAGCAGATATTGGAGGATCCAACTCCTCTTTGTAATATTGTTTCTGGGAATTTCTCGGTTTGAATTGTCCTCCGTGTTGCTCCCTGATTCTTGCATTTGAAGGGAAAACTGTGTCTGAATTTTTAGACAATTGAGTGTCCACCCATTGTTCTAACCAGTATCTCCATCTTCCATTGACCTTGTTGTGTTCTGATTCTGTGGACCTCTGAATTTTTTTGCTTTCCTGAGTAAATAACCAAGTAGGGGAAACTAAATGTGAAATGACAGAAAAAATAAAGCTACCAAACTTACTCGCTGACTCAACGAGTATTCTTTTATCCTTTCTCTCTTGATGGCAGCCTCTCTCTTGCTTAAGAACATGCCATTTGCTTCATCTTTTGACAGTATGCTATCGTCCCACCTTCTCTGACTGTTTGAATCAATCTGCAAATTCAGATATTGTGCTTTCTATTTAATTAAGACTACAAAATAGAAGAATGAAACATTAATAAATTTTAAAACCATTTGTTTTTTCAAAATGTTATGATGGAACCAAAAGATTAAGAAAAGAGGATTAAAGGCAAAGACCTGCAGTGAAATTTGTCTTCTGACTGTCTGTTTATAGGGGTGATGTTACTGTACACAATCCCAAAAGGGTGTGTGTGATATGCCAAGTTACAACTCATTGTGGTCCTAGTTATGAATTAAGTGGCCTAAACACCACTTTCTCGGCCTAAACACCACTTTCTGCCATACTCAGAACGACTTTAGGTCATACCTAAATTAGTTAGTCATAGCCAACACCACATGGTGTTCGTACTTGATGAATTCCGCACAGATAATAGAACATTGTCCTAAGGTTTTCATTTACGCTATGTCTAGTTGAGAAATTTGGGAAAGGATTTTAAAAGGAAAAATGAAAAGAAAGATCATATTTTACTTAATTTCACACACTTTTTTCTTTCTTTTTTTTCTAAATTCTTTTTCAAATTCCCCGACCAAATACAGCGTTAAGCAATCTGACAATCAAAGAGCCTGCGAAACAAAGATTAGTGAGACTGGCCAACTAGGGTGTGCTTGGAAAGCCACTCTATGCTCAATTCAGAAAGAGAAGCTAGGTAGAGAGAGAAAGCAAGTTGCGATTTTGTATGCTTAGCTTACAGAGAAGATGAAACCCCCTTTTTATAGAAGCTTTCATGACCCCAAAAAAAATTCCTAAAACCCCAAGATAACTCATAATATACAAAGATCCAAGAAATTCTAAAACGGGTTGAAATAGACCAAATACCAAAAAACTGGGTAGAATCTAGCGAGTTTGCCAACGGGTTTTAGACACAATTCGGATTGAATTCAAGACATGCACATGCATGCCTACAACACAAAATAACTTGATGTAGGCAAAGAAGCCAGAAGAAGCTAACTAGCTAGCTGGGGTAGCACCAAAACATGAAAAAAAGAAAGAATCCAAAAATGAACGCATTCATTATTATTACTATTTGGTTTTTGCACTGACCTTGATTAGGTTGTCATTGAAATTAAAACCCTGCAACTCTTTGTTCTCATGAAAAGTATTCCAAGTCCCTTCCACCATTTGAAGTTTCTTTGCAGAGACCTGTGACTGGAAACTTACCATGGACTGCAAGCACTTAAGAGTGGCGATAGCTTGGCGCCTCACTGCACGTCCTCTAATAATCGCTTGAAGCCTCACTAATCCCTTCAATGCTCGTAAAGCTTTTCTTGCCTGCAAATACATCACTCCTACATTAATACGACACGAGGCAAAAATAAATTAAATAAGTTTTTCTATTGAAATAGAGAAGTAGTGTTATCTAGAAATTGAATGGTTTCAATCCACAAAATAGTACATAAAAATAAAATAAAAAGACGGCAGAACAATACAAAAATATGCATGGTTTTTCAATACGCCTACACTACAAAGGAGAGGAGAAAAAATAAGAATTATGGAGCTCAGAATTATGGAAGCTCTGGACGTCTGGTGGGACTTTCTAGAGCCTATGGCTCTGGAAGCTCTGGAGCCTATGCCTCTAGAAGCTCTGGACGTTCGATGGGACTTTCCAGAGCCATAGGCTTTGTTTGGTGAAGCTCTGGAAAGTTCGTTCCAGAACTTCATTTGAATATAATGTTGGTTTAGGATTTTCAAAAATTAATTCTACACTCACTTTTGAAAACGCGGTCGGAGGCGAAAAAAATTTGGATTATCGGTCGTCCCACCGGATGTCTGGCCAGTTGACCGGGATAGTGATTTTTTTTTTTTTTTTTTTTTTTTTTTTGCAATTGACACGTGTTAATTTTTATATATTCAATAAAAAATATTTTCCGAATTTTTAAATTTTTTTTATAAGTTTTAATAGAATTTTGAGTTGTGTGTTTAGTTATGAGTTATAAGTTTTTGTATCAAATATCATATGTCACATCAAAAATTCCTAACTCAATTCAAAACTCTTTTCAAGACTCTTTCACCAAACAAATTTTCTACACTCAAATCATAATTCCAAAGCTCATAAACTCAAAATACAACTCTATTCTCAAATCATATTTAAAAAACTCTACCAAACGTAACCTATATTTTTACCAGTTAATCCAAGGGAGAGCTTATCTAGGGACTGTATATCCCAGCCCTTTCCCTAGGGACTGTTAATCTAATCTCCAAATTTTTCAACCAAACAATAGATTACTCAATATGTTGGGCATGGAATCCAATCCCCCATTCCAATTCCTTCAAACAAACACCCCCTAAATACTTCCACAACTTCGGACTAGGGACCAGACAGGTATGGATGCCTTAACCCTGCCTTGGTTTTTTTAAAAAAAAAATAAAAAATCTCAATCAAATCTAAGTGTACAGTAAAGTATTTATCACAACAAGAAGGATTTGAACAAACAAACTCACAAGATAACCCCGAAAGGCAGTTTGAATTTTGGTGGCAGCAAGATCTGGAATCCCACTCTGACATTGTTGAATTGATTGAGGTGCATTGGCTTGACTGTTAATGCCTGAAACTGAAAATTCTTCAATTTCAGTGAGCCGAACAACCTCAGCGGCAACCTGTGCAGCTGCAAAAGCAACTTCAGCAGCCACAACAGTTGCAGCATGCTTGCTCTGCTCTTCCTCTTCCTCTTCCTCTGCTTTACTCAGTGGGCTTTCACTTGACAGTGACAGTGACAGTGACACTGGTGCTGGTGCTGAAATTGATGCCAATCTTTTCTTCTTCATCCTTCCCAATCCCCATCTCCCTCTCTTCTCCTACAAACACCCATTTGCATTATAAACTAGTACAATTAATTGATCAAAGAATCAAAAAAATATACAGCAAGGATCCTCTAGAGTGAAATTTTCTTAAAGTTTCCTAGAGTGCTACATTGTGTGGTTGAGATTTACTGGCAAGTTTTTATGATGTGACTTGCCAGTAAATCTCAACCACACAATGTAGCACTCTAGGAAACTTTAGGAAAATTTCACTCTAGAGGATCCTTGCTCAAAAATATATATACCTTTTCTGGTTTTGAATGTGTCTCTGCAATGAAGAACCTCTTTAGTAGACTGAAGCAGCTCTTCTTTGCCATGTATAGGACCACCACATCAGCTGATCAAATGTCAATGAAATTTTGAACAGAAAAATGGGTTTTCATAATTGGAACCTAAACAATTTGGAAAGAACAAAATGGTGACTTGAAAAGACTAATCAAATTGCCAAATTTGAATAAAAACAATAATCACCCCATAAAAAAGCTTTTTGGAAACTGGGGTACTGCTTTTATCGAATTCAGAAAAAAAGTAGCCTTTTTAACATCAGAAAACCATTGTTTATATCATCACATTCAATAAATGGTGGCTCGAAGAACTTTTCATCGCAGTTTGGATTGAAAAGCAGTTTTTTATTAGTTTTTTCTTCTCAAAGTACTGAATTATCTAACACTCACAAAATGGTTCGTCAGATGCAAAATGGGTATATGTTTTCTCACATGTTCAATAATTCATTAATGATTCTCATCTTTTTCATTATTTGAAAAATCTGCACGGCACGTGGACGTTCCAAATTTTTTACATGAATATACATTTTTATAATTAGAAAGTATATGAGTTATTATTATTATTATTATTGTAATTGATAAGCCCATGAATCAGGTAAAATTTAGACAGAAACATAAGAAAATTCTCATAATTAATATCGATTACAAGCTCTAATTTGCATCCAAAAAAACAACAAAACTAACCCGAAGATGAGTCAACTAATTATTTTATCACACGTTTGTTTGGGATTTTAGTATCTATTAATTTGAAAATAGCGTTGAATTGTTTGGTTCATTAAAATGAAATTAAATGAAATAATATTCTATCAAAATATTTATTTTATATTTGGTTAATTAAAAAAATTATAAAAAATACATTATAAATAAAATTATCATTCATCATAGATTAATCATTTTATAGAGAAGCCTATGCAGTCACATTGGGCCGACCAAATTTGAAAGTCTACAAAGGCACATTGGGCCCACCAAATTTGAACAAACTTTATGGCTCCAATTAAGGATTGGGCATTGTCTCGTATTATTTCAGATTTATCAAAACTCCATTAATACTAACCTAATTTATTTATTTTTCATATTGTCGTTCGTGTTAGTTTCAATTTGCGTCTTATTATGAGTCTAATGAATTACAATTCTCTTTATGTTATATCAACTTTCATTCTTAATGAAAAATACCAAGTATATGACGAGATTAAAAAATTTCCCACCAGTCATCTAAAAAATTCTCACCGATACCCCAACTAATTTTAGGGAGATTCTATTTACATCCATAAAATATTAAGTATGTCCAATTTCTCAGTACACTCTGTTCAATTATTTAGAGTAATAATTTACTCTTAATACACACTATATTTTTTTTTCAAATTACCCTTCAAGATACACTCAAATAATAAACAAATTAAAAAACTCAAATTATTTGAAAAGCCTTTTGAAAACTTTCCTTTTATTCAAATACAAGGAACACAACATCAGCGAAGGTGACACCAAAGAAGGAGACTAGTGAAAGAGGACGATGAAGGAGAACTAGAGGGTAAACTTTATGTTAGAATATGAAAATTGAGAACTTCGTATTCACATTCATATTTACATTCATCGAGCTTGAAGCTTAAACTTTGCGTTGACCACCGACCACAGTTGTCCATCGGAGCTCGCTCACGCCATAAGATGAATCAGGTTATTTCTGCGAATTTGAAATTGAACAAATGAAAACAGATTGAGAAGTTAAACTTTAAATTGAAAAATTAGGGTTTGGATTTTCAGTGCCAAACAATATTATTTGGTTTGAATTTTCAAATTCGAACATGTTGACTTTGTTTGGATCTGAAAGTTTGAAAAACAATGGCATTAAACAAGTTGAAAAAAAATCAAGAATTGTATTTTGATATTTATGTGAATACTTACCTCCTATTTGATGGATTGTTTCTAAAACAGTTTTTATTATTATTCTCATCCATTGTTTGATTTTATTCAAACTTTTTTTTCTATTTGCAAGAATAAAAAATAATGATGTTGATGATAATAGTGAGTTTTGATGGGGTAGTTTGGAGTTTTAGAGTGAGGAAGAAAAAAAAGAGAAAACAATGAAAGTTGGGGAAGAAGATAAAGAACATATATAAGTGATTAGAGTGTATCATGAGAAAAAAAAAATATTTTAGGGTTTAATATGTATTGTCTATTAGTAAATTTACATTAAGAGTATAATAGAAACTAAAATTTTAAAATTTTAATGACTTTTTAAGTGATGTTCTAAAAAAGTACACTTTTTGACTTATTGGCTTATATGGGTTGGGTTTGGGTTGGGTTTTATGTGATGTGTTAGAGAGGTGATGTGATTTAAATAAGATGATGTGACTTAAATAGGATAGTGACTTTTTGACTTTTTGTATTATTTAGGTCATGCCAAACTTGGCCAAAGAGAATCATCCCTAATTTTAGCTCTCACAATCTTTCTAACTGAAGGCCCATTAAATTATGGATGCTTAATTAGTAATTTTGCATATAAAAATACGATATAATTAATATTTAACTAATATTTTGTTATTATTCATTCAAATTTTATTTTGTATTATAAATTCATATTTTATTTAATGGTTATATTTTTATTTTTTTCATACATTGGGTGAACCATTTTTTTATTTTTTCAAAAAAGCTAGGGTCCTAGAATTTTGGACTCAAAATGTACCCAGAAATAGGTTGTGTGTTGGAGATTGAATTGATGAAATGTAGAGTCTACATATGAAATGAATATGAGCCCTGATTTGGCGAACTTCCTAGGCTAAATAATCACAAAAGGACAAAAAAAAGTCAAAACAGCCAAAAAATCAACAAAAAGTTTGTCATTCCAAAACCAAAAAGCCAAAAAAGCTAAAAAAGAAAACCAAACAAACAAAAAAGTTTCAGACTAAAAAAGTCAAAAAATCAACTAAAAAAGTCATTATCAAACGACCCCTGAGTCATTGATGTAAACTTCTGGATAATTTCTGAGTTTTTATATTTGGATCCGTTGCATTACTGATCTTTTTTATTTATTTTAATGATTTCTTCATGTTTTAATATATGTAAATATAATTATAAATATATTTAGGTCATGTTTATCAACTATATATTTTTTTCAAAAAGTCAAAAAGTCATTAAAAGTTGTCACATCACTCTTTCTATTTTTTTGCATATCTTTTCGTAAAAGTTAAAAAATTATTAAAATAACATGTTTGCAAACGAAACCTTAATATATAATTTTAGTGATTATGAATGTAAGTAGAATTTGTGTGACTATTAACAAATATAAATTTTAAAAAAAAAATTATAAGCGCAGCTCCAACTATGCTAGTAATTTTATAAGATAAAAAGTACAAATTTTATTTTAGCTAGTCACTTTACTTTGCAATTATTTTAATTTTACTCTCTATTCAAACTAATTTATGATTGATATATCACCGTTAGACATGAAAGAAAATAAAATAAAAAGTTCCTTGAGTTTGAAGAGCCTTTAATGGCTTTCTAAGTGTAAAGACCAAAAAAAGAAAAATGTTAGAGATTTTAAATATTTTATTAATAATTCTATCAAGTATCTCACATGAATATAGGACTCATACCATATAGGTCTCATACTCATGTGAGATATTTAGTAAAAATATTAGTAAAATATTTGAAATACCTAACATTACTCAGCAAAAAAAGGAGTTAAATAAACTTAACATTTACATAGTCTGGTGAAGCAATTTAAAGTTAAATTAGCTAGCTATTTTACCTAACAAGTCTCAATTTAAAAAATTTGCCTAGAGTCTTCAATAGCTCAAGGTCAGCTCTAAGATTATGATATGATCATTCTTTTTTATTTCATGTCATCTCCTTCTAATAAATTAAATAGAATATTATAAAGTCAATATACCTTACTTAAGTAAATAGATTATTTTATAATTATTATTAACTCAATATGAATATAAAAAAAAATATCTTTATTATGTGTGTTAATCATATTTTTTATAATTGTATAATTTTTTTAATGTGTATATTCACCCTCATTAACATAAAATCTTGAATCTATCCTTCTAAATTCATTTTTAATGCTATAGTAAGATTGTCAAACACAACTATAAACTATGTACCTGCAAGCTTTCTTTTCTTGGTTGATTACGGGAAGAGAGAAATAGATGAGTGATGCATTATTAAAGTATGTGGGAGGGGTGAAAGTCCGAATGTGCAACAGATCAGAGAATTTTAAGAAGATACAAAGCAGCCTTAGGTTGAAAGATAGGAAGGACAGCTGTTGAGGGCCCCTAGTCTTGTCATTGCACAAATCTCATTTTCTTTAAAGGGACAGTCACATTTTCCCATCTCTCTCCCTTAAAGTGAAGGGAAGTACTCTAATCAATCATAGACAATTATTTTGCATTATTCTCTGATTTCAGTAATGTTATTTAACTAAAAGTAAAAAGAAATGAGTGCAGACCATACGTACCTAGGGTTGTTTGTGATTTGATCGCGGTTAGGAAATTTTCAAACCATGATCCGTCTATTGAATTAGTAAATTAAAAAAAAATCAATTTGTATTTGTTTGTCAGATTAGTAGATACAGATTAAACGGATTAACAGATAGATTCGAATCAGTTTGATAGTTTAAATTTTTATAAATTTTAAACATAATACAATAATTTGTCACCATTTTGTTTTTGGATAACAATCTAACTCAACAT